AAACACTCAATGCAGTTGGAGTATGACATGACAAATCTAGGCAAAATGAAACATTTTCTAGGAATAAAGGTAATATAGAATGAAGCAGGCATTTTCATCTGCCAAAGGTGATGTGCACGTGAGATTCTAGCACATTTTAATATATTGGACAGTAACTCGGTACGAAATCCCATGGTACCAGGAACCATTTTATCCAAGGATGATGCAAAGTTTAAACAAGTTGTTGGCAGTCTCATGTACTTGATAGTCACACGACTTGATTTGATGTTTTGAGTCAATTTAATCAGTAGATACATGGCCAATCCCAAGGAGTCCCACTGGGCAGCAACAAAACGACTTTTTAGGTATCTAAAAGGCACTACTGAACACAATCTCTTCTATCAAAAGGGAAGAAAGATGAGTTTCATAACATATAGTGACAACAACTATGCAGGGGACTCAAATGATCCAAGAAGCACTACTGGATCAGTGCTCATGATTGGAACTACAACTGTATCTTGGGCTTCAAAAAAGTAGCCTATGGTAAGCCTACCACTAAGGCTAAATATATTACTGCAGCATATTGTGCATGTCAATGTATTTGACTCAAACGAATCCTAGAGCATCTTTGAGTAGAAGGAAAAGAAACTATTGAGATTTTTTATGACAATAGTTCTACCATACAACTATATCCAAGAATCCTGTTTTTCATGGTAGGAGTAAGCATATTGTAGTAAGGTTCCACTTTCTCATAAATTTAGTGAATGATCAATTATCACACTGAAGTACTACAATACAAATGAGCAGGTGACTGACATTATGACAAAAGTTTTGAAGCTTGATCAATTTGAAAAACTTAGACGTATGCTTGGAGTACTTGTAGTTAATAGCTTAAGGGAGGGATTGTTAGTTTTTTTAATGTGTCAATAAACAGTCCTATTTTATAGTATTGACTGGGTCTAGTTAATTGCTTAGTTTACGCATAGATTGTTGTCATGCAGTTTTGTGGTTTTTGTTACTTTGTTTTGATAGTCAAGTCTGTAAGGCTTATAAAGCCATTTTCGTATGATTGAATAAGTGTGTTATTCGTGCATTTTCATAAAGCTTTAACAATGAGAAGTATAATGTAATTTCATTGATGTATTTGGTATGCATATGATGTTGGCAAAATTTGGGTCATGAATATATATGATACATAATTTAAATGTGTTAGAGCCATTATTTATTAAGCCAAATAATAAAGTGATCTGACTAAATTAAAGTTTTTGCTAAAAACATATGTCATGAAAATAAAATTGTGTAGAGACCATAGAGTAATTTCTAATTTAATGAGGGGCCAAATTGAAAATACTAAAACTTAAGTAATTAACCTAATTCTGGTTATTTTAAGGGGTCATGGTCCCCTTCTGGGAGCTGATATGAATCACAAAGGGTAATTTAGGATCTTTAGGGTTAAAACATTTTAAGAAATTTAGGAAGTAGAAAGAAGGTGGAAGGAAAGAATCACTCTTCTCAAGGGAGGCAACACACAAAGGATGTGACAGTCCTTTGATACAGCCAAGGGTTCTTGAATCACTCAAGAATTTAGGAAAATCACTCTCACTAAGATAAAAGAGATAAACTCTAATATTTCTGAATAAAATTTCACTTGTTATTTCTTGATAAGAATGGTTTAGCTGATATAGAAGCGTTGCCATCAGAATTACAAAAGACTCAATAAAAGAAAATAAATACTAATAATAACTCATTAATCTAGGAATCGAAAACTATTTAATGGAAACAAATAAAGGCTAATAATGATCCATTAACCTAGGAATTGAAACTACTTAATGACTGATTGTATCTGAAATTGTGGCAACCAAAAGTCAATCAGCTATGCACCCCTTGGTCTCCCAAAGGCTGATGACTAAATTTTCAATTGGGCCCTTATTACAACTTAAAATAAAATCAAACTAAAGCCCATTAATTGATTAATCCAAAACACAATTTGGTCAACCAACAATACTTGTTGAAGAGCTTCCTTTGTTTCCCTTGCTCTAGCCCTTATCATAGGTCATGTTCACATCATTCTCTCCCTCATGAAAAGGATTTGTCCTCAAATTGGATTCGTCATCTACATTAAAAAGAGATAAGTCTGACAAATTAAATGTAGAACAAACATTATACTCACTTTTTATGGCTAAATAGCTCTGTTTCACTTCAAGTGTTTCACTCTTCTTTTGATCACTCTTTTTCCTCTCAAGTGTTTCACTAACGCTTTCTTTCTCTCTCTATTCTTGAAGAAGTTTTTCTTTCATTTTCTTTTTATCCTCACATACTTTTTGTGGACTCAAAGGTTTGAGCACAATCTTCTTGTCTTGGTGCATGAAAGAAATCTTGTTGGTGAACCCGTTATGATTAACTCTTTTATCAAATTGTCATAGTCTCCCCAAAAGTAAATGACTGACTTCCATAGGAATAATATCACAAAGCACCTTATCATTGTATTTTCCAATGGAAATGTCCACTTCAACTTGTTGTCTCACTTGCACCTCTCCATCCTTACTAAGCCATTGAAGTTATATGGCCTAGGATGTGGTTTGGTAGCTAAATTTAACTTTGATACTAATCTAGCACTAGCCACATTGGTACAACTACCTCCATCTATGATCATCATGCACACCTTGTCATTGATTAAACATCTAGTGTGACAAATATTTTTTCTTTGGTTTTCTTCCATAGGTTTCAATTGACTATCAAGTAATCGCCTAATCATCAATAAATCTCCGTTTGGAATCTCTTCCTCCTTCTCAGTGTCTTCACTCTTTTCTCCCTCTTCAACCTCAGATTCACTTATATATTCTCCCTCTCTAAGAATCATGGTCTTTGTGTTAGGGCACTCATAAGCATAGTGTCCTAGGCCTTGACACTTGAAACACTTCACATCTATACTTTTTTTAGAGGGTTGTTCTTCATATTTTGAATGAGTCTTTGTAGGAATAGGTGTGGAACTACTAGAAGTAACAGTCTCATCTTTTTTGCCTTTGTCCTTCCAACTTGAAAATCCAAAGTTGGTAGAACTCTTCTTAGTCACTTCTTTTCTTTTGAGTTGTTGCTCCACTCGAATTGCTTTATGAAGTAAATCCTCCATATTAACAAACTCCTGCAACTCAACAATATCACATATATCAATATTCAAACCACCAATAAATCGGGCCATAGTTACCTCTTCATCCTCTTCAATCTTTGCTTGAATCATGAGCATGTCCATTTCTTTGAAATACTCCTCAACCCCTTTGTTGCCTTGAGTAAGTTTTTGGAGTTTAAATTTCAAGTCCCTTGCATAACTAGCCGGCACATACCGTTTCATCATGATCCTTTTCATCTCAGTCCATGTATTAACCATTGGCTCTTCATTTCTATCTCTCTCCTTTTGAAGCTTGTTCCACCAAACAAGAGCATAGTCAGAAAATTCTGTTGTTGCAAGCCTCACCTTTTGGGTCTCCTTATAATTGTTGCATGAGAAAACATGCTCTATTTTCATCTCCCACTCCAAGTGTGCTTCTGGATCACTTTTTCCTTTGAACGGAGGAATGTTAAGCGTGACTCCTTCAAGCCTACTTGGTCTTGTTACTCCATCATTCATTCTCCTATTTCTCCTTTCTTCTTCGTCTTCAGGATTTCTATTCTCCAACCGTTTCAATCTTTCATGGAGCTCATTGTTATGTCGTATCATTAATCCTTCCAAATGTTGTACCAATACTCTCATTTGAATTGGACTAATTCCTGCTTCTTGATTGTAATTTTCCTCTTCTGCCATCAATTTGATGTTTAAACCCTTAAACCGGAGCTCTGATACCAAATGATATGAATCACAAGGGGTAATTTAAGATCTTTAGGGTTAAAACATTGTAAGAAATTTAGGAATTAGAAAGAAGGTGGAAGGAAAGAATCACTCTTCCCAAGGGAGGCAACACACAAAGGATGTGACAGTCCTTTGATACAGCCAAGGGTTCTTGAATCACTCAAGAATTTAGGAGAATCACTCTCACTAAGATAAAAGAGATAAACTCTAATATTTTTGAATAAAATTTCACTTATTATTTCATGATAAGAATGGTTCAGCTGATATAGAAGCGTTGTCATCAGAATTACAAAATACTCAATAAAAGAAAATAAATACTAATAATAACTCATTAATCTAGGAATTGAAAACTATTTAATGGAAACAAATAAAGGCTAATAATGATCCATTAACCTAGGAATTGAAACTACTTAATGACTGATTGTATCTGAAACTGTGGCAACCAAAAGTCAATCAGCTATGCACCCCTTGGTCTCCCAAAGGCTGATGACTAAATTTTCAATTGGGCCCTTATTACAACTTAAAACAAAATCAAACTAAAGCCCATTAATTGATTAATCTAAAACACAATTTGGTCAACTAACAATACTTGTTGAAGAGCTTCCTTTGTTTCCCTTGCTCTAGCCCTTATCATAGGTCATGTTCACATCAGGAGCACACACACAAAACGAAAGTATCAGTCACGTTCTTTCTTTCTATCCCCATCAAGAGAGAAAATCAAGAGGGAAATACAGGTGCTCTTCAGGTAGAAGACCATAAGATCAAATAGTGCTCTACAAAGACATCATCATTATGGTTAATTCAGGTACACTTTCGCATTTAGTTTACAACATATTTATCAGTATGAGATTAAAGATATGTTTGATCGTTAGAATGAAGATCATAATTAATTACAGTTTACCTAACAATTGATATCGGAGCCGCTCATACTTGATTCATGTCTCGTTTAATTTTATAGAATTCTAATTATGAAAATTAGGATTAATTTTATGAACCCTAAGTGGAGAATAATCTCCAATTTTCATAAACCCTAAATTCCAATTTGGGGGTAAAATTTCGAGTCACACGTTCGAGTCAAGACGATGGAAATAAGTGCCAAATTTTAATTCCTTTTCAAATAAATAGCTAGCAACCAGTTGGATTTTGCATTACTTTATAATGAGCGTTCGCATTACACATGAATGGAACTTTGAGTGTGAGTGTGAGACATGGCCACGGTGGCGCGCATCCCAACCATCTCATCAATTCGGGTTTCAACGGCCAACAGCGTGCAGAGAGGAAAATTCTTCTTCTTCCACGAAGATTAAAGAAATATAGTTTCAGTGCTGGGGATTTAAATTCCAGGGAAATAACCACGCTTGACGTCACACTGTTTTCTGATGTTGAAGACCTCGCGAATGTTGAATTCCTCGACATCGCGCATCGAGTTAGTACTGATTCATGGTTTCTGATGAGGTTTGTGCTCACGAAGGGCATCAATAGCGCATATGTGCTTGGATATTCAGGGACTCCTAGCGACAAGACCTAAACATAAAGCCACATGCCCTTACTCAAGAGGCTTGAATTGTTTGGATCATGAAGTTTTTTTTAGCAACAACTAGGAATAGTTTCGTGGATCTCGTGTTCGATCGTGAGAATAGAAAACCTTGAAGTTATTGAACGAAGGGTTAAACTCAGTGAATCCTAATTCTCTATTATGAGAAGTGGTCAATTATAGATGATGTTTGTGTAATTGATTTTATGGTTTTGGTGGAGTAAAAACATTGTCGCAGAAGGGGTGGACAGGTTGTTCCCTGACCCCGAAGAGCAGGGTTAGAGGTGGAACCTGGTCAAGTTCGGATTTGGATTCGAGCTCGGGAGATTGAGCTAGCGCAAAGGAGAAAAGTGTGGTCGCAGTAGTTGAGTATGGCGCAGATGAAAAAATTATGTATTTTATTAGTTACAATATTTGGTTTTGCTATATAATTAATAAATTCAATTTTTGGTAGTTTAATATTTTTTTGTGAGCAAATTGAGTCAAGAAGTCACCAAAGTAACCTCTCTTGAATTGGGTAGTTCGTGAAAAAATATTGAATGTTAGTGTTTATGTATATTCATGCGAGTATTAGTCGGCCCAAAGGAAGATAAATACTTGGCCGGGTTGCATACACACTTGTGACGGTAAACACGTGATAATTATAAGGATTTGCATGTTGATAATAAAATCAATCCAAAGATAGGTTTGTTATTGAACATGCCTTATTATCAGTGTTTGACCGTTACAACAAGATACCTCTAGCAGTTAATATTACTGTCCAAAGACTTGATATTGATGGTGCATTGAGTGTCTTGAGATGGGTTAAACCATTATTTGAATATATATATATTTATAATTATTTATTTTTATAATGTGAGCATAATTAATTTATTTCTCTTGTTCTTAATTCAACTACAATTGCTTCAGTATCTGTCAATTTAAATTTTGTTCCGATCCTCAAAAGTATGTTTCCTACTTTGGTCTGTTCTGAAGTCAATTTAGCGTCAGTACCTAGTAACACTTGGTGGTTAGACTCAGGTGCAACTACTAACATTAGTGTTTCTATGAAGGGTTGCCTAAGCTACCGAAAACCAATTGATTCTGAAAGATGGATATATGTTGGAGATGGTAAATCGGTAGAGGTGGAAGCTATAGGGCATTTTAAATTGTTATTGAGTACTGATTTTTATTTGGATTTGAAAGACACTTTTGTTGTGCCGTCATTTAGGCGGAATTTGGTTTCAGTTTCTTATTTGGACAAATTAGGTTATTTATGTTCATTTGGAAACAATAAGTTCAGTTTGTCTTTTAATTCAGATATTGTTGGAACTAGTTCACTTTTGCCTTATGATAATTTGTATTTACTTGATACTGTGACCACCTATAATGAAACCCTTAATACACAATCACAGGGTACTAAACGTAAAATTGATGATACTCACTCAGGAGCATTATGGCACAAGCGATTAGGTCACATCTCTAAAAATAGAATTGAGCGACTTATGTCAACTGGAATCTTAGAGTCCATTGACTTAACAAACTTTGATGTTTGTGTTGAATGCATTAAGGGCAAACATACCAAAGCAAAAAGATTAGGTGCATATAGAGCTACAGACGTCTTAGAGTTGATACATACGGACATTTGTGGGTCATTTCCTACACCTTCGTGGAATGATCAACAATGTTGAACATTCAAGGACTTGATGTTGCAAATAATGATCATGAAGAATGTTGATTTTGATGATGATCCAAGAGCTTAAAGACTTAGAGTATTGAAGATTGAAGATTGATGATTTCTGTATTGTAATAACTTTGTTTTAGTTTGATTGAGTCTGTAATTATAGAGTCTAAGATAGCCGGTACATAGTCTATAACTTAGAAGCTTCAAAATGCTCAAATTTATCATGCAGGCTCGACTTTAATCGATTATATAGGGAAATAATCGATTAAAAGCAGTGAGAAAACCATTTTCAAGCATATACTCATCGTTTTAATCGATTAAAACATCAAAATAATCGATTAAAAGGTCAAATAATCGATTATTTCACCAAATAATCGATTAAACCGAAGAGGATTGGGTTCTGCGTATTTGGCTCTCGTTTTAATCGATTAAAACTCCATTTAATCGATTATTTCGATCTGTTTTTGTTTTTAAATTTCAAATTAACCCTATTTTCGAAAACCCAATTACCAAGAACCCTAGTTTCGAAATCCCCAATTCCTTAACCCTAATTTCCCTACTTAAACTCTGCTTTGGCACTCGAAAAGAAGAACAACTCTTTCCATACAAAAGTTAAGTGCTGTGAGTGCCGAGAAGCTGTTTGTTGCAAGGAAAGGGGGCTTTTGGAAACTCGGTGTGAGGCTAGAAGCGATAAGAATCACTAAGTGGAGTTCTTAGTGGATTGAGTGCTATGTCTGTCTCGGGGAAAAGCTGTTCTTCGGGGCTTTTGGAAACTTGGTGTGAGGCTAGAAGCGATAAGAATCACTAAGTGGAGTTCTTAGTGGATTGTGTCTTGTCAGTCTCCGGGGAAAGCTGTTTATCATCTCTTGTGGATTTCAAGAGAGGTTTTATCTTTAACTTTATCTTTTTCATTATAATTTGTGTTGTAACAACTTTGTTCTTAGTGACAGCGTTAATCCTCTTTTGAGTGATTAGCAACTGGACGTAGGGTCTTTTGATCCGAACCAAGTATAAACCTACTTGTGTAATCTTCTCACTCTTCTTTATTTACATTTACGCAGTTTTTAATCGGTAAAATTTGGGGAAAATTTTGAAAACCTAATTTTTATTAAGAAACCAATTCACCCCCCTCTTGGTTTTTGTCCAGACCACGCGAACATTCAGCTGCAGCGATTCTAACAAGTGGTATCGAGCTTGCTTTGATAGTCATTCAAACTTTTCGAAAATGGCCGGACAAAATCAAACTTTTGCCGAAGGTGCGTCTATCAACGAACCCCCACTTTTGCGGGTCAAAATTATCCTTTTTGGAAAGTACGTATGCAAATATTTTTAGAGTCCGTTGATAGAGGTGTTTGGGACGCAATTTTAAACGGTCCATTTGTTCCTAAAATTACGAGAACGGTGTTGACGTTCTTAAACCTTTTGATAGATGGACTGCAGACGAAAGTCGAAAAGTACAATTTGATGTTAGGGCTAGAAACATTATTTCATCCGCTTCTAACCCTTGATGAGTTCTACGGAATTTCTATTTGTAAAAGTGCACAGGAAATGTGGGAAATGCTTAGAGTAACCCACGAAGGAACCGACGACGTCAAAAGAGCACGTAAAAATTCTCTAATTCAAGAGTACGAAATGTTCCGGATGCAACCAGGCGAAACGATATTTGACGTACAAAAACGTTTCACTCATATCGTGAACCATCTCACCGGACTAGGTAAAATTTTTGACGTTGATGAATTAAATGTTAAAATTTTGAAATCTCTCGGATAGGAAATGGCAACCAAAGGTGACGGCCATCTCGGAGTCACAAAATCTTGCCACTATGTCTATGGCGGCGTTGTTTGGAAAGCTTAGGGAGCATGAACTTGACCTTGGAAGACTAAATGAGGAAGAGGGTCAATATCAAAAGAAGAACCTTGCTTTCAAAACCGAGATTTCAAAAAGCAATAATAAGAAAGAAGAAGAAGAAGACTCCGAAAATGATGAAGAAGAGATGAGTCTTTTTATAAAGAAGTTCACCAAGATGATGAAAGCAAAAGGAAGACATCCTTTCAAAGGTAAGGGAAAGGTAAAAGAAAATTCTTCCGTTAATATAAAATGCTTTGGTTGTGGTGAAGCGGGGCATATGAAGACCGAATGCCCAAACAAGAAAAATGATGAACATAAGGGCAAAAAGCAATTCAAGAAGAAAGCATATATTGCTTGGGATGACAGTGATTCAAATTCAGAATCAAGCGACTCGAAATTGAAGCAAACATTTGCTTGATGGCAAATAACAACAATTCTTCGGATGTTGAGGTTAGTGATTCCGATTCATCCTCTTGTGAAGAAAATGATCATGATGAATTACAAAATGCTTATAATGAGTTATTTACTGCATTTATGGATATGAAAAAGGAATATAAAGTAGTAAAGAAGAATCTAAGAAAATCGGAAAAGGAAAATGAGTCCTTAAAATTGAAAATTGCATGTTTAGAAGAAAAGGAGGTAGCTAATACGAAAATTGTATGCTTAGATGAGAATAAGGACTTAGCATGTGCAAAATGTAAAGAGCATGAATATGATATAGATATTCTTAATCATTTGCTTGACAAAGCCGAAAAAGAAATTGATGATCTTAAGAAGAATGAAATGGTTTTTGCTCAAAATAATGTAAATCATAGAGTTCCTTTGAAAAAGAGTAAATCTAAAAAGAAAAGAATATGGGTAGAAAAAGGAACTAGAGCATGTCATGTTAATAATGTATCTTATTCTAAAGCTACTCCAAATGCATGCTTCTATTGTATGAAACAAGGTCACACTTCAAATAAGTGTAAAATTAAGCATTTTGGAGTTCCTAAAGGTAAATATATTTGGGTTCCAATAGTTAAATAAATCTGTTTGTCTCTTTTATTTATTCAAAGAAAATGGATCATTTTGTATGTTTTAAACAAAATGCTTAGGTAAAATCATTTTATCTTTTCTATCGCATAAAGATTCTTCTCTTAAAGATTTTTGCGAGAAGCCTCTAAAATTGTTTTAAACAGCTTCAAAATAAAGTATTTTTACAAAAGCTTTCTTAAAACATGTTTTTAATCGATGCAGTTTTGAAAGAACCAAATAAAATCACTTAGAGTGGTCAAAGAAGTGTTTTTACAAGCATTTTAATCGATACAACTGGTTTTTAATCGATTAAAACCATTTAGAACTCATTTTGACCGATCAGATTGTTATTATGAGCGATCGAAGCGTTTAAATCGATTAAAAACACGTTTCAATCGATTAAAATTACTTAAAGGGTCGGATGATCGATCAAAATCAAATTATGACCGATCGAAGCAAATGTAATCGATCAGATTTTAATTATGAGCGGTCAGAATCTTTCAATCGATTAAAAACACGTTTCAATCGATTAAAATCACTTAAAGGGTCAGGATGATCGATCAGATTTTTATTATGACCGGTCAGAATCAGTTATGATCGATCAGATTTTTATTATGACCGATCGAACTCTTTTAATCGATTAAAAACTCGTTTCAATCGATTAAAACAACTTAAAACTTTTTCTACACTGCGTTTTAATCGATTAAAAGACGTTTTAACGATTAAAACCGCACTTTAACAGATTAAAAGAAACTTTTAACAGATTAATTAAACCAGCAGTTTTTGAAAATCTTCTATTGAAAACAGTTTGGCTTGAACTTTCTAAACTCACATTGAATA